ACCGTGCGTGGAGCTAGTTTTTCACCTGTCCCCTAAACCCATCGGGTTTTCTAAACCCACGGAGAACCCGCGGGGAAATCGACATATATAAGGAAACATAAAACCAACAAAGAATAATATTTTGACAACAAAACGATACCACATTTCAGCAATATAGATAATCAGATTTCAGCAACAAACAGGAGCATATTTCAGCCATACATGGTTAAACAAGATGTCCAATTACACAAGTTCTAAAATATAATTCTTGATTCACAAATCAAAAGCACAAATAAGACGAAATAGTCCAATACATAAGTTTTGAAATAGAATTCATAGTTCACAAGTCACTTTAAAGTAGGAATCATCATAGCATCTTTCACATCTCCAAGCCTCCAAAAGACTATCTTCAAAGCTTCCAAATCCAAATCAAAGTGCCAAGTCCTAGAGAAGATCAAAATACGCTCAAGCTTGGTAAAAAAATGTATTTTGCCGGCTTTGCCGGGTTTCAGGTCCGGGGACTATCGAAATGGGTGCAAACCCATGAAACGTGTCGGGTTGTATAATGTGCCCAACAACAGTCCTGCGGGGATGAAAAGCCGCCCATCCCCGTCCCCTAATAGGGTAAAAACCCGCGGGGACGCGGGTTTCGGGACCCCATTGCCATCTTGAGGTGGGAAGGCCTGGTGTCCTCGTTGGACAAGCGCTCCACTTCCTCATTGATCGTTATGAGGGGGACGGTTGTATTATCAAGTGTGACTTGGGTAGTCATCGCCTATCACTCTGTGTGTGTTTATGCGAAACCCTCTCCTCATTTTGTCAGAAGACGGTAGGCTAGGGGTTGTAGACTTAGACGAGCATGGGCTATGCCATATGTGGTCGGTGGAGGTGAGCGTTGATGGAGTAGCGTCATGGATCAAACTCAGAGAAATGGACTTCGGGATGCTTCTCTCCCTTGGCAATACCAGGAGCTCAGATTCTTTATGGCTTGTTGGCTGTGTGGAGGGCACTGATATCCTTGTTGTGGCCACAGATATTGGTGCATTCACAATTGATCTCAAGTCCTTGAGATCAAGGAAGTTGTCGAGTAAGCCGTTCGAGGACATATGTTGATATGCGTGGCTGATAGGTTTGAGAGTTTCTTTCTCTACACGAGCTTCAACAATCCACCTGGTATATATGTTTACTCTAACCTCTTTTTAATTATCATATATGGTTTTTATGATGTGTTTTATTCACCACCAATGCTAAGTTTCCTTAAGAAAATCGCCAAGTTGCATAAATAAATTCTCATCCTAGTGACTCATCCTCTGAAACTGTTTCCTTCATTCAGCGGTGGCAGGTGTTATGGAGGTGGCCAAAGAAAGCCAGATCAGCCAGTGAAGTAGGTCATGGCGATGCGACAGTTTGAATCGAGAGTAAGTCATAGAAGCATGGAAGTTCAGTTTGATCTTTTGGTGCTGATTTCCATTTTGAGTCTTATCCTATGTTTGATATGGGAGTCTTTAGTCTTAGCAATGATATCTCGATAATTTGTAAGTTGCTTAGCTTGCTCTTCTTTGCGTGGCATATCAAGTTGTACAATCAGAAACCAGGATAAGAATGGCCGTAAAATTGAGGAGTGTGTGTGTGTGCTGTTGTGTTTGTTCTAGTTCAGTTTTGCTGGAACATATAGTTCAGTTTTCCTGCTTGGCAAGAAAACTGCAGTATATCCGGCCACAGTACATGAGCCTGCCCACCTCAAGGGGCACCGATCCGTATAATGGATAGCTCTTTGATAAGAATGTCAACGAGAAATAGAAATAGAAATGTTTGAGGGGAAATGGTGCTTGTTTGGATGAACTTGCATTCATTGTCACTGTAACACCTTTAGCATCCACACAAAATGCAAGAAACAGGCCCTTGCATATCTGAACAAATACATAAGCAATTTCCACAATGGAGGTCATTCTCTCGAGAAGCATTCTTCGGAAGAACTATGTGAGAGATATCACAGTATCCATGTTTGCATCGGTGGAATAACTGACAGGATAGCTGGCACTTTTCAAGAAAAATGGAGCTTACACTTCACTGTCTCCATTCTTGTAGATCGATGGGACATGCTTCATCCAACGTACAGTTTTAGAGGTTGGTTTTGATGCTTAGGAAATAGAAGAACTAATTAAATACGGAGTAGAAAACAATGTTTTACCTGACAAAGACACTGTTTATCTCTAGTTGCCTAGATGGTATTTTGAGCTAGGTCCCAAGACCCCTTTTGCTATAAAAAACTGACAGACACAAGAAACCCATTCACTTCTCATCATTACTGAGGCGAGCTATATTTGTATGTACTAACCACCGTATTGATGAATAATCTTTGTGTCTGCAGGAAGAACTTGGTCTTGAGTATGATGAAGATGTCGATGTGAACTTCCAACCGTACAGTGAAATGATGGGAGTCTTAACAAAAGGAGAGAAGTTTCTCGCTGAGGACGTAGTCATTGGAGTATCTCAGATCAGATGTATGTCACATCAGTTTTATCAGCCGAACTGCTCCACGGTTTTGGTAGTTTCTTAGGCAGCGCGTTTGTTGTAGTTTGTCCAGACAGATGGTGTTGTTCCACTGATGATAACATATCTGCTCAGAGAACTCTAGCTGGTAGCTTCAGTAGCAGTTTATCTGAGGTTTGCAGAATGTTTTCAACTAGGTGTGTGATATAACTTCTTCGCCATCTTAAATTATACATCAAGGCGTCTTATTACTGACAACACCAGCTTATGGTTTTTCCTCTCTGTTTGGTGGAAAATCAGAATCATATTAATATTTACTTTCCCATTTCTCTATTTACATCACATACACAAAATTTAATAATGAAAAAGCGAAAGGGATGCTTTACCTGACAAAGACATAAGCAACCCGTTCGGTTTTCCTCATTAGTCAGGCTAGCTATATGCGTGCAATCTAGCATATCCACTCCGGCCGGTATAAACTAGAATAAAATAACTTGACGAATAAAAACTCGAATATACCCAAGTACCTACCAAATCGAAGATAAATGAAAACTGATATGGGTGAACCATGAAACGGTGTTTATATCAACTTATAAGTTTAAATCAAGAATACTTTTTAAATTCGGG